TGAAGAGCTGAGGGACAGCGCCCAGGCCTAGAGTTCAAGCTCTACGACTGACAAAAAAAAAAGAAAGAAAGAAAAGAAAATAACTTGCCAAAAATTATCTAGTAACTAGTATGTGAAGAAGAATCTAGGAGCAATTCTCAAGCTAAAAGCTCATTGGTTATTTAGTGAGCTTGTTGCTTATCTGGAACATAGAATATTATAGCAGTGAGATTTTTATTACTGATTAAAAACATTTTACTGTCCCTCCCCCCAACATATCCTATATTGCATATTACAGACTTTTTTCCCCTGAAGAATATGTCTCCAACTTTTCAGAGAAAATTGATGGGAAACAAAATCCAACAGAATATGCATTTTATCTTACAGTCCTCTCTGGAGTACAGCACAACCTTCCGTTATGTGAAACTGAAGTATTTGACTTTTCAAAGTAAAGATGATGATTAAAAGAAGGCACAGCTGGGCACTGATGTAACTAGTTATTTAGGAGGCTGAGATCTGAGAATCACAGTTCAAAGCCAGCCCAGGCAGGCAAATCCATGAGACACTTACCTCCAATTGATCACCAGAAAACTGGAAGTAGTGCTGTGGCTCAAAGTGGTAAAGCGGTAGCCTCAAGCAGAAGTGCTTAGGGATAGCAGGCCCTGAGTTCAAGCGCCATAACTACTCCCCTCCGCAAAAAAAGAAGGCACAGCAGTTGTAGCCCTCATAAATTACTAAGTTTTTCAGTTAATTATAAATTATTAAAATTTTCAATTTTTATTTGAGGCACAAAAATATGGATTTACTTGGACTCTGTGATTTGAATAAGAATGAGGTGTTTTTAAAACTAGATTCCAAAATATGCATGTGAATTGAGCTTATGAAACTAATTTTTACAGTCTAAGCAAGCATGTCAGCCTATCCTTCAACCTTTTTCTCCATTCTCTTTAACTCTTATTAGGTCCTATGCAGTGGGCAAAGTGGGACACAGGCTCAGCTTGCCACAGCATCATTTAACTCAGTAACACCAACTATGCCTTCAGCTTATGAAACCTTATATTTTACACTATACTTAAAAGAGAGCTAGCTGACAAGAACAATTTAAAAATAGCAGACCCCGGACAGGTGACAAAAATGTCACACTGGCAGCACCAGACTGCATTAACAAAAATCACCAGATGTCACACTTGATTCTGTTTTCACAGCTGATTAAACAGCAGTATTTTTTGGACCAAAGGAAGAAAAAAGAAAAGGCCTCATCTGAATGTGGAATCAGGGTTTTTTTTTTTTTTTTTTTTCTTACAAATGTTCTCCCTCTCCCCTCTCCCCCCCCCCCCCCCCCCCGCCACGATTCCTTAATAGGTATAGGATTTTAAGATCACAACAAATTATGAAAACTGTGATAAAAAATTCCAGTCTTAGAAATCTCCACATATATACATTTCCTAAATTGCAAAAAAATGAATCAAAATGTTAACTCTGCTGTCTTTTGCTGATCTTATTTTCTTCATTTTCCCATGTCTAAAATTTCTATGATGAAATTAGATTGCATTTTATAATGTAAACATTAATTTTTAAAGAGGTATAGAACCTATAAATGATTTTCCCAAAAAATGCTCTATTTGGAGAGTAAAATTAGATCATTGGTTCTATGAGTCTAACATTAACCTAGAGTTTCTTATGAAATCCATGTTAACTTTTACCCAGAGATCCACTGAAAACAAATAGAATTAGGGAAAATACCAGGAAATGTAAAAGTGCTCTGCTTAGTAGTAATTAGTAATGCCTTCCATCTGTAAAATACCACCTAAAGCTCTTGTTCTGCTCCTTAGGAAAAACTGAATTGGAAGTAATCAGTATTGGATAGAGAATGATAGTTAGAAGACAGTCCAGCTCCCTTTCAGTTTTATCTTTGCAAGCATTAGAGAGAATCTGTGTAGATCCTTTTGGCTGGAGGCCAAAAACAGGACTAAGTTTGCCACCATGACATGTATAAACACATAAATATATCTTTCAGCAGTGGGCTACTTCTTGGAAATCCTAATAATTCTAGTAAATATGTAAAAATATATGATACATGAAAATAAAATAGACATTTTTCTATTGAAAACATAATCTCAAAAAGAATTCTAATATAAATGGCAGCAAAATAGTCTTCGTAAAACCAGAGGCAGATTCAATATTTTTGTCCTAATGTTTAAAGTAATTTTTTGTCTATTCATTTTTGGTACTGGGGATCAAACCCAAGATGTTGCACTTGGTAGACAAGCACTTTGCCACTGAGGTACATCACAGCCCTAAAATTAATTTTTATTGAAGTTCTTATGTGTATTGGTAAAATTAGAAACAGTTTCATCAGAATCTATCAATTGTTGATGACTTTCCCTTTAACATACCCACACATGATTTACTTTTGAGGGGTCTTTCTCTCTCTTCTCTCTTTTCCTTCTTTCCTTCCTTCCTTCCTTCCTTCCTTCCTTCCTTCCTTCTGTCTTCTTTCTTTTTTGAAGTGCCAGAGATCAAACCCAGGTCCTCATACATGCTAGGTCAGAATTCTATCACAGATCTATAGCCCCAAGCCCATTCACACCAGCTCTTAATACGAAATGACCTTTGACAATTATCAAGGGCTTTAAGAAATTAGGATAAGACAGGCATCACCCCCATAATTGTAGCTACTCAGGAGGCTGAACTCTGAGGATTGAGGTTCAGAGTCAACACAGGCAGACAAATCCAAGAGACTCTTATCTCCAATTAACCATCAAAAAGCTGGAAGTGGCAGTTTTGCTTAAGTAGTAAAGTACCAGCCTTGAGTTTGCTAAGGAACAGTGCCTAGGCCCTGAGTTCAAGCCCCAGTACTGAAAAAAAATTAGGGTGGTCTTGATTAGACAAAAGATGTGATTTGCTTAGGAATTCATAATTACTTCTTATTTGAGGCATTATTCTGTTCTGTCCACTATGAAGCTTTTCATTTGGGCCATTGAATACCTACTAGAAGAGTTGACTATTAAATGATGACAATCCTATACTAAAACTATATTTGGTGAAAAGTTCATCACTTTTTTTCTTCTATTGGTCGTGGTGCTTGAACTCAGGGTGCAGTACTTTGAGCTCCTTTGCTTAAAGCTTCTTTAAGCCACAGTGCCAATTTTGATTTTCTGGTGGTTAACTGGAGATAAGAGTCTCACAGAGCTGGGTGTCACTGGCTTATGTCTGTAATCCTAGCTACTCAGGAGGCTGAGACCTAAGGATAAAAGTCATCCTGGGCAGGGAAGTCAGAGAGGCTCTTTTTTTGGGGGGTGGGGGGAGGTCCGGTTGTGGGGCCTGAACTCTGGGCCTGGGCACTGTCCCTCAGCTCTTCAGCTCAAGGCTAGCACTCTACCACTTAGCCACAGCGCCACTTCCGGCTTTTTTCTTTTTGCTTATGTGGTGCTGAGGAATCGAACCCAGGGCCTCATGTATGCAAGGCAAGCACTCTACCACTGAGCCACCTTCCCAGCCCCTCAGAGAGACTCTTATCTCCAATAAACCACTCAGAAAAGGCCAGAAGTGCCTCTGTGGCTTAAGTGGTCTAGCCTTGAATAAAAGAAGTTCAGGGGACAGCAGCCAGGCCCTGAGTTCAAGCCCCCAGGACCAGCAAAAAGAAAAAAAAAAGTCTCATGGACTTTCCTGCCCTGGCTAACTTGGAACTGCAGTCCTCAGATCTCAGCCTCCTGAGTAGGTTTATAGGCATGAGCCACCAGCGCCGGGCTCATCACTTTTTTAGTTGTTTTTTTTTTTTTTTTCCGTCGGTCATGGGGCTTGAACTCTGGGCCTGCGCTGTCCCTCAGCTCTTCAGCTCAAGGCAAGTGCTCTACCACTTGAGCTACAGTGCCACTTCCTCATCACTTTTTTAAAAACTACAGTTGTTTATCATTCTTACCTCACATATACTTAGACTGTGATTGAGAAATAAAATTAATAAAACTGAGAATGTCATGATAAACCTGGACATAATAGGTCACAAAAATCTTGCAGAGCCTTGTTCACAGATACTAGATTATATACTAGTTAGGGTTTCAGTAAGTTTTTTGTTGAAAGAATTGAGTAAGAAATCGTACTAAGTACATTGTTTCCTCATAAAAGACTTAAAATTTTTCTTTTATTCTCCCCTTCTTTCCCATAATTAATGAAAAAAAAAACATCAAATGTCCCTATCTTTCAGTTTTTACTCTGGGGACCATCATTCCTGCAACATCTGATCCCATCTTACATTATTGACTAAGGGTTGCCAAACTTTTGAAGGAACTCAAGTGGAACTATTTTAGGTTTCACAGGTCATATAGCCTCTGTTTTATAGTATCCTTTGTTTTTGTCTTATTTGTAACCCTTTAAAAATAGGAAAATTATTCTTAGTGGTATAGAAAAATAAGAAGTTGGCTAATATGGGCAGAGTTAACAATTCCTGTTATGGATACAGGATACAGGTCTAGAATTTAGCATTATGCCCAAGGTCACAAATATACTTAGTAGTAAAGTAGCATAAGAGATGTAGGTTTTTAGGTCAGTCTGTTATATAAGTTTTGCCATCTTTCTTCACTCTGTCATTCTGATGATAATGTTGCATTTTTGAGCCATTACAAAGCATGTTTCTATTTTCTCTAAGTTTCAAGTTTATATATTTTGAATTTTTTTTCTGCTTGAATTTGAAGGGCAGTGTGAATTATTGTGTAAAATAACTTGCTTAATGCGGAAATAAGCATGATTAAATTGGAATGTGGGAGATGTGTAAACTTTAGACTATTGGAAGCTTTTTTTGTTCTGTTGTATTTTATTTATGTTGAGACTTTGGTTTTGTTTTCAGACTTTTTTGCATATGTGTTTTATGACTTGATTTAAGAATTGTAACTGCTTTGGCTTTTGATAACATTGTTATAAATTAATCTGTTCTAGCTTTTTGTAATGTGTATATTTTATGATGTATTTGAAATAATTATATTGAATTTTTTCTGTGCTTAAAATAAAATTATTTTATTTTTTAGGACGTATGGGAATAAATTTCCATCATCCTGGAACAGATAATATAATGGCACTCAACAGTAAGTCTTCATGTGAAATATTCTATAAAATTAGTGGTCATGTTTGTAACATGTAGTTTCAACTTTTGATTACATTTTAGTCTTTCACTAAATGTAATATAGATCATTGTTCTCTATCAGTGGTTCTCAAAATGTGGTCCTGGATGAAGAGCGTCGGCACTACCTGGGAACTTACTAATATTGTACAAATCTTAGGCCCTCCTGTCTCCTGAATTAGAAACTTTAAAAATGAAGCCCAGAAACTTATGTTAACAAGTACTATATGTAATTTTGATGAAAGCTATAAACATTTCTGCTCTACAACAAGCACTGGCAAACTACAGCTTTTAAACTATAGCTTTGTAAGCCAAATTGGGCTTAATGCTAGTTTTGAGTTTTTGTTCCATGTTTTTGGCAGTATTGGGGTGGCATTCAGTGCTTGCTCTGCAGGTGCTTTCCACTCAAGTCATGCCTCCAACCTTTTTTTCTTCTGGTTATAAGATAAGGTCTTGCTTTTGCCTATCCTGGCCTGGATTGTGATCTTCTCATACTTCCTGATGTGTGGGATGCCACACACCAAATTTTTGGTTGAGATAGCGATCTTGTTTTTTGCTTGGGTTAGCCTCAAAGCCAACCTCTCAATCTCTGCACCTCCTTCCCCTCCCACTATGTATCTAGGATTATAGGGTGAACTACCAGTCTCAGTTATGATTAGATTTGTAAATTTTTTCTTGTCCTTGCTGGGGATTGAACAGGACCTTGCCAAGCCAGGTGCTCTACCACTTCAGCCACACCACAGTATTCTGATGCCTGTTTTTGTAAATAACAAAATTAATATGTTCTGGGACATAGCTACAACCATTTGTTTATGGATTATTTATGGTGCCTGTTTTTTGCACTACAAAGAGAGAGCCCACATAGCCTAAGCTGTTTTTGGTGTGGCCCTTCACACAAGGGAACAGGGCAGAGAATGTGAATGAGTAAACCAACTAATGTATATATAACTTAAATTTTTTTCTTATTGAGGTAAATAGCCAATTGATGTGTAAGATAAACATCTAGGAAACTTCGTTAGTGAACCTTGTGTGTTATAGATGTTAACAGTTTTACAGGCTAGGATTGGTTTTGTCCGTGCAATTGTTGGATTAAGTTCTAGAGCAACCAGAAGTTATTATCCAGAAAGTCATGGCTAGTAGACTATCTGGCTAGCCTCAATTCTCCTTCCTAGGAACTATAGACCAAGTAACCTTGCAGAACTGTCTCTAGACAGAAATTGTTTGGACCTATATGACTGTTAGATCTCTCAGGACTGAAATTTTCTCCTTAGCCAAGTGAGTGATAGCAGATGTCCCTTCTCATGCTCCCAGACACACAAGTTGACTCTTGATACACATGGGAGATATACTGGGTAAATTTAGGGTAGTGTGTAATCTCCAAAATACGTATTCCATGTTTGTATTACTTACCATCAATTCTCTTTTAAAGTGGGTTCCAACTTGAGATGATCATCTTTCTTGCTAGGTACTTGTGGGATGACACACTTAGATAGAATTGCTATGATAAATCTTTTCTTCCCTTTTTATAGATGAGCACAGCTCATGTAGCTACATGTAACACATAAACTGTGTATTTTTTTCTTCCTTTTTCTGCCCAACATTTACTGGCCCCACAGTTATTTTCCTGGTTCCTTCTTCCTTTCTCTTAATCTTCATATGGAATAATTGAAATAAAGTCATAAATTACTAAAATTAGCAGTTCAGATTTCCTGATTATTTGTCAGAGACTAGATTAATGGTGAAATATATTTTCAGGAAAGAAAGGGGTAATAAAATCGAAAAGCTGGATGTGGTAGCAGAATATTAAAGGATAGGTAGGAGCTGGGTGCTGGTGGCTCATGCTTATAATCCTAGCTATTTAAGAGGCTGAGATCTGAGGATTGTGGTTTGAAAGCCACCCCGGGCAGGAAATTTGGTAAGAGACTCTTAACTCCAATAAACTACTCAGGAAAAGCCAGAAGTATAAAGCAGTGAAATAAGACCTGAGGCTACTTGTCCAGAATTTCTAAAAGAGTTCTTAAACAGTCCTCTCCACTGAAATGGGTATGTATTTTTTTTCTTAGCTTTTAAAGCCATTGCCTTTCATCTTTACCCAAAAGACTAGAAGTTTGCAAAATATGTTTTCCTTGATCCTACTGGAAGAGGAAAGGAGACTGCTGAGAATGTTTAGCTACATGTATAGTAGCAGTTCTGTCAGCCAAATTTTTCCAACTTAGGTTTTATGTTTTGGTGATTTTTCCTCTTATTATCTTAGTCCTTCAGAACAAATATTAGTGCTTCTATTTGGACCAAGTGAACTAAATTCATGGTCAGTTAATGTTCAAAACCAAAATGGGTAGTATCAGTTTAAGATATACCACTGCCAATTATATCTATTTTATTCCTTTTGACTTGTCAGATCCTATTTTTCAAAGTAGAAAATAGGCTGTGGAAAACAAGCAATAAAAGAAAGTTGCCTGATAAGTACAAAATTAGAAACCAAGTTGCAGTGTGCTTTAAGGGATGGTATGGTTCTGTTTCTGGGAGCCATTTTCAGGCCAGCTGGAGGACCTGTGAAACCTGAAGATGCAGCAGTAGTTAGCACAGTAGTTAGCATAGTTAGCATAGATAGCTTTGTCAGTAGTCTCAAAGATCTGCTTTCACCTCTTACAAACTATATAGCCTTAGGGCTACATTCTTCTCTTTGCCTTTGATTTTTTCCCTCGTAAAATGGAGATAATGATCATTGACATGGCTATTTGTGAATCCAAACAAAGCTTAGCTTAGTGTCTAACTTGTAGATAAATTCTTTTTTTTTTTTTTTTTGGTCAGTAATGGAGCTTGAACTCTTGGCCTGGGCACTGTCCTTCAGCTTTTCAGCTCAAGGCTAACATTGTACTGCTTGAGCCAGAGCACAACTTCCAGTTTTCCAGTGGTTTATTGGAGATAAGAGTCTCACGGACTTTCCTGCCTGGACTGGCTTTAAACTACGAACCTCAAATCTCAGCCTCCTGAGTAGGTAGAATTACAGGTATGAGCTACCGGCACCCAGCTGTAGATACATTCTTGGGAGCTGCCCTTGTATGTTGGTTACATGGACATTATGGTTGGCTTTCTTTTCATTTTTTTAATTATTATTTTTTGAACTGGAGCTTGAACTCAAGGCCTTGAGTTCCCACTGGGCTTTCTGCTCAAAACTAGCACTCTACTACTTGAAACATTTTTTCCACTTCCAGCTTTTTGGTGGTTAATTGGAGAGAAGAGTCTCTGCCTGGGCTGGCTTGAGACCCAGATCCTCAGAACTCAGCCTCCTGAGTAGCTATTATTTACAAGCATGGGCCTCCAGTGCCAGGCTTTCTGTACATTTTAGATTTCTAAAATAGAGTTGATCTTACATTGGTTTTATTTAAACAGTTGTGCTCCCTTAAATTCCACCGGGAAAACACCTGTAACTCATCTTGTAGCTAGAGTGGCTTTACTGGAAGTTATTTTTTCACTTGTTTTTGTGTGATTTTTCTACTGTGGATGAGATATTTTCTCTTACCTATGCACCTTCTCTGAGACCTATAACCTCTTTTCAGTTGTTACATCCATATGATGTTGGCACTTTTTGTCTGTTTGTTTTTGTTGGTCATGGAGCTTGAACTCTGGGCCTGGGCATTGTTCCTCAGCTCTTCAGCTCAAGGCTAGCACTCTACACTTGAGCCACAGCACCACTTCCAGATGTTGGCACTTTTTAAAGTGTGGTTTGTGAAAATCTAAACATCCACTTTGGAAAATGGTTTGTCTGTTTCTTAAAATGTAAAACATAAGCCAGGCGCCAGCAGCTTACACCAGTAATCCTAACTACTCAGGAGGCCGAGATTTGAGGATCGCGGTTTGAAGTCAGCCCAGACAAGAAATTCTGTGAGACTTATCTCCAGTTAACCTCCAGAAAACCTGAAGTGGCTCTGTGGCACTAGCCTTGAGCGATAAAGCTCAAGGCCCTGAGTTAAAGATAAAGCCTAGGCCCTGAGTTCAAGTCCTATGACGGATTCCCCCCCACATCCCCCTCCCCCCCACAAAAGTAAAACATATTCCCACCACATGATGTAGTTCTTCTAGGGATCTATCAAGAGAGAAAAAAAGAAAGCCAATGTCCACACACAGACATGTATACCAATATTGATAGCAACATGATTTTTATTAGCTACACAGGGTAAACAATCCAAATGTCCCTCAACTAGAGAATGGCTAACCAAATTGTGGTACATCCATGTGATATGGATCCTCTCTAGTTGAAAAAGTCTCTGAATCTCCCTCAGCCTTAACTTAAAAATCTACAAGTGGGCAGTTGTGATAGTCAGTGTAACTACCTCATTTTTATTTTGTTTTGTAGACTTGGATGAGGTGAGGCACAGTGTAGGCCAAGTATTACTGCTATATTTGGGAAGTGAATATACTTTTGTTCAGAGAAGATAGTACCACAATGACTTTTTTTTCTTTAAATAATAGCTTTGTAAATAAGAAGTTCAAAAGTTTTCATGCCATTTCTTCCTGGGGTTCTTCAAATTACAGATAGAGGCTGTTCCAAGTTATAAGAGGTGAATAGGAAATCTGCAACACCCTTTGAAGAGGAGAGATTTTTGGTTGTTTTTTTGTTTTTTGTTTTGGCCCTTATTCTTCCTTATCAAAGTGTCTAGATTTTTTTTTCCAGTCCTGGGGCTTGAACTCAGGGCCTCAGCACTGTCCCTGAGCTTCTTTTGCTCAAGGTTAGCACTCTACCACTGAGGCTGCAGCACTACTCTGCCTTTTTCTGTTCATGTGGTACTGAGGAACAGCTAGGCAAACACTACCACTAAACCACATTCTCAGCCCTAAGGTATTTCAATGAGAGAGTTCTGTGATAATTTGTTTGTTTTTTATTGGTCGTGGGGCCTGAACTCTGGGCCTGGGCGCTGTTCCTCAGCTCTTCAGCTCAAGGCTAGTGCTCTACCACTTGAGCCA